ACATTATGCAGCACTTTAACCCAAAATCACAGCTTTAAAATCCTTTTCATGGCACACTGACCTGTAATCAGGAGACTGGGACCTCTCTTATGTAGGTTTCCAACCGAGGTGTCCAACCATAACTGTTATTTAAAAAAAAAAAAAAAACATCTTAAATACATGGTAAAAGCCACCGATGCTGAGGCCCGGTGGGCTGCAGGGGTTTGTTATACACAGATAGAAACCCTGCACCAACTATAAATTCTTCTTAGTGGTGGGTTAAATGACAGCCAGACATCCCATACATGCCATAACACACACACATGACAATAACGTGAAAACCTAATTCGATAAATGACATGTTCCCTTTGATTCAAGCAAGCTCCTGCCCTCTTGAAGTCTAAGAAGCTGTCGCCAGTGAACTGAAGTGATGTAATGATGATTCAAATCTTCAATTAGTTTTCTGCAGAGCATATAACAATGCAAATATTTTTTTTAATTCCTGTAACTGCACGACTCTGAAGAATGTCTGCTGTTCCTGTAAACATGTCACGCTGTGAGTATTCTCACACGATTGGTCTGTGTGATTTTGTTCAGCCTCCACGACTCATCAGTATGCAGCAGCTACCACGAGGGCCTGGGGGTATGAACAGTGGGCCCGGACCCCCCATGTACCCGTCCTCCCACCACATGCGTCTACCTGGTCCCCCACAGGGCCGAATGCCCACCGCTCAGCCACGACACAATGGACAGCAGTATCCGCCAATGATGCAGCCTCAGTTACAGAGACAGGTCAGTGCAGACACACCGGCCTCGCTGTGTGGAGATCCAATAACAGGTTCACTGTTGATGTTTTACCACATGTTTTGACTGATGTATGAAATGTGACCCAGTGTTAGTGTAATATCAGTCACTGTATAGATACACAAGGCAAGGCTGGTCTGAAGAAGCCTTCCCAAGAAAACATGTTAGAGTGTTTACACTGTGTTCTTGATACAGCTTTTTCTATCTGCCTATGATTTAGGGATACTAACAGACAGTAAAGCGGGGTTTCATTTGTCCTTTTTGTACCTGCAGCACTAATATGTCAGAATTTAGGGCGACTCCTAAATTTTGTGCATGTGTGTGATTCTTCAGCAGAGTTTGGATATAATATTGATTTACTTATTAACGAGCACTAGATGTTTTTGCAGAGCCTCACCGCTACATTGGTTATTACTATCGATCAGCATTAATCTCCACCGATAAGTAAGAAATTGCAATATAAAAATATCACGTTTTAAGCTCATAAACAATGAGGTTATTACGTGGTTTGTCTACTAGAGTGCACCAACAACGCTTTAAAATGTATTAAACTTCAGAAATCCTCTTAAAAACTGTTCCTATTATGGTGGATGCTACAAAAGACTAGTGGTGCTGCTTTCCATACATTAGAGTGGAATAATTTAATCAAGGTGAAATTCCTTTGCTGTGTGCATGATATACGAGATCTAAATAGAAGAACCTAACTTTGATTGTCATGTTTACTCATTTGCATAAATTATTATGGAGCCCAAAGAGAACATTGGCAGGGCAAAAGCACACGCAGCCTGTAAACAGGTTGTTGTACCTTCAGTCCCTTTCCTTTGTGTTTGAGCTCCATTTGTGCCAGATGCCAAACATGACGATCGCATATCTGCTTGATCAGACACTGATGGCAATCACTGAAAGTACCTGCAACTTGCATATAGCATCTTACCCTAGTCCGGGAAAATATTTTGTTCCCAGATCTTATCCCTGCCGCGGCCAAACTTTGAGTTTTTGTGAAATGATTTTGGGACGACTATTTCCACGATCACATTTAGTACAAACTGAAGTGAAGGCAGACATTAACAGGTCACCAACAGCACACATCATCTGGTATTGAAAAAACTTTAGCAGGAGTTGAAGTTTAGTTTAAGTCAGACTCTTTCCTCTGAGTTTGTTGAATACCTGCAGCATCAGACAGCAGCAGCATCCATATGAGTGACACAACTTACAACTTAATTAATTGCTTTCAATTATGAATTATTCCAACATGAATACAGGATTGATTAGGATCTAAAAGCAAGTCACTGTGTACTGTTCTTTACCTCAGACTTATTATACTTCGCTTGATGCAATGTCTAATCTTGCATAAATGTCCAATACTCTGTGTGTTCCTTGGTTCTCTGTCGTGGGGAATGAAGCTGTGAGGAACATTACTGTAAAAATGACCTCTGTTTAAATGACAGAAACAAATTGATGAAGCAGCAAAGTTACGTTTCCTATGTATAAAAAGGGCTTGATTAGGTTATGTCACGAAATGCACTCAAATTTAGCAGTAATATGAAAACAAATATGTATTTTGAGTACACAAAAAGCAAAGGAAATTTACATGTGATAGATTATCTTTAAATATAAGAACATCGCACATGCTTTAGCCAACATGTAGGCAGCTAACTAAACCTCTGAATGTCTTCTCTCAGTCCTGCTCAGCACTGCCTCTCCGGTGTATCTATACATACCAAGCTGTGTCTCTGCTCATGTGACATGTACCGTACAATATGAAGGTTGATCTTTGCTGTGTGCATATTAGACTAGGGAAGAGAAACCTCCACTATATCCAGCCCCTTTTTCTTTGTGTCCAGATGTCTGTAGAATCTGAGATGAGCCACCAAAGGTTTCGTTTCTTACTACAATCAGGGGTTTGGCACCTTTTTCCTATTTTGTTGTTTATGTGTCTTGTGCAGCATGTGTGGTTAATCAAATGCATGACAATGCAACCTTGTTGTTCCCACAACAAAGACTGTCTGTTTCATAAACCTCAGTAAGTGACCTCTTTTCATTGTTTTTGTTGTCCCTTGTTTCTTCCCTTTCCTTTTCTTCCGTTCTTCCTTCCTGACATTGCCCTTCCTTTTCACCCTTTCTACGGTGTTGATTTGGCTCCATCCTTCTCACTCTCTTCTTCTGCGCAGCATTCCAACCCTGGGCATGCAGGCCCCTTCCCAGTGGCATCCCTGCACAATGCCAACCCCACAAGTCCCACCAGTGCCAGTATGGCCGGCGCACACGCTCACCGCGGCCCTGCCAGCCCCATCATCGGTCCAATCGAGCTGATCCCCTCGGTCACCAACCCCGAGAACCTGCCCTGCCTACCTGAGATCCCGCCCATTCAGGTGCGCACCTTTTAAACGTGTTTGTTGTACAGCTTTGTTTTTTTAATTAAAACATGGTAAAATAGTCAAAAATTCTATTTAAATTCTATCTAAATTACCACAGAACTGGCATTTTGATGGACAGCTTAATATTTTAAGGTCAGGAAGAATGAGTAAGAATATATAGAGCTAAGGTAATCTTTATTTAGTAAATATCATTGAGATCAGGGCCTCTTTTGTGAGATAGATATGAGAGAAAGTTATGTATCACAACAATAAAATGAATAATTCATAACGCAGTCACATATGACAAAAACACTAATGAAGCCTGCCTGTCCTCTGATCCTGTGTGGTGGTTATTGTCCCTAACCCGAACTAAGGATGTTAAATGCCTCCGTAGCTCAGTAAGCCAAGTCTTCTAAATGAGGGATCGTTTTTTTTTTAACAAAAATCTCTCGACCACTCGAGTAACTTGGGTCTCTGCTGATACTTTGCCTTCCTCTGTGGCCGTTTCTGGCATTGCTAGTTGGAGGATGCAGGATCCAGCAACCTTGGACACCTCCTGTCTCGTTACATCACAGCCAGCACACAGCACCAGCTGGGCTCAGTGGACATGAACCCCTCACCTGGACTATCGACACACTCGCCTGGATCTTCAGGTACCAACAGAGGCTCTTGCTTAAGAGCCATTTACGCTTTATTTCTTACATTCTGCCAAATAACACCATATAAAAGCCAGACATGAATTCATTTCCCACAAACTTACTGTACAGTGATAAAGTATGAAAATTAAATTTAAAATTATGTGTAATTGTATCCTTTGGACAGTGAACACGTTCAACAACTTTCACTCGTGCACTAAGAAGTGATCTCTGCTGTTCTGTGACCTGTTTCATTTCTGTCTGAAGGTCTGTCCAACGCCCACACGCCAGCGCGACCTTCTAGCACGTCCAGCACGGGCAGCAGAGGGAGGTAAGAACGTATGAAGCTATTTTAAAAGGTAGAAGATACCAGCACACCAGAGCACCTGATTTGACAAAGAAGCGATCTGCTAATAGTCCTAATCTATGAATGATCTATAAAAGTAATCATGCTGGTGATGCCCTGATAGCCGAGTGGTTAGGAAACGTATGTGCAGATGCCCTAAGCTGCCAGTTAATGGTTCGATTGACTCCCGGACATCTCTGCATGTCATTCCCCTGCTCTCAGTCCTCATATTATGTTTGTCTCAGCTGTCTGTTAGAGGAACATGTGCTCCCTAACAAATGATTAGTTCAAACTATTTAAAATATGATCTGTCTTGCCTGTAAATTTTATCTTTCTATATTTTTTACTGTCAAGTGTTCAGCTAAATAAGTGTGCATAGGATAGGATTTGTATAAAAAGGCTTTAGGTTGTGTAACCTTTACCAGGGACTTCAGTAGTGATGACATGTTTGTCCTGTGCTCAACAAAGGAGTCAAACGGTTCAGGACCCTGTGTGGTCTCAGTCAATCAAACACATAAATTAAATAGGTAATTAGGTTTGAGTTGACAACAAGCTTCAGTAGTTGCGTGACGAAACTTTCCGTGGTTTGTCTTTCAGCTGTAGCTCTGCGGGTCGAGCAGGTCCAGGTGGTGGCGCCGCAGCAGAGCCGGTGAGGGTGAAGCAGGAGCCCGGTACAGAAGACAGCTACAGCTGTCCAGCCTCTTCTCTGAAGACGGAGAGGGGCAAGGATGCTGGGAGAAGTGCCTGCATGGTAGGATTCCTGTTATTTAATCAGCAGTTTTCAAACAAGCCAAAGGATCTGAGAATGTGAAACATGACACTGCAATTATACACAACACTTGTTGGAAGTTCGTTGTTTATGCTGCATTCAGCTTGTTGCTGGCTTTCATCATGGTATGGCTAACCGTATCACAAGGAGCTCTTTCCAGTAGCCAGGAACTTTATATATATATGTCTTGAACAAGAAATTGAAGAAAACAAGGCAGTCTAATCATTATTTCAATGACTGAAGAATCTCTCAGTATGCTCATATTTGCCCTTAGTAATATATACAAGTAACACAGAAAACTGAAAATGAACTAAACATTATGAAGACATGATTTAAAACGGTCTAATGTTTCGCTGTGTTTTTTTTCCTAGATGAACAGTCCAGAGAACAGTCCCCTTCCTATACTGGGAGTCGTGTCTGCAGGCCAAGATGCTATCAAGGCTCTAGGGGAGCGCATCAAAACAGAACCTCAGTCTGAGACACCTTGTTCTGGACTAAATGGCTCCAGTGCAGCAACATCATCTTCCTCCTCAACCACTATGACCTCCACTACCTCGTCATCCGCTGAGAACAGCAGCAGCAAGGAAGGCCTTCCCCTCACCAACGGAAACGTAGACAAGGGGTCAGAGACCAAAGGGAGTGGGACGTCTGCTGGGACGGGGAGTCTTGGTGGAAAAGAGGACGACCCCAACGAAGACTGGTGCGCTGTTTGCATCAACGGTGGTGACCTGCTGTGCTGCGACCGCTGTCCCAAAGTGTTCCACATGAAATGTCATGTGCCCACCATAAAAATCTTTCCAAAGTAAGTCATCAGTCTAGACAGCTTTTCTTTTTTTTTTTTTTTTAACAACAGGGCTGTTGCATGCTGCTTTTTTTTTTTTTTTTTTTAACAACAGGGCTGTTGCATGCTGCCATGGCAATCTTGTAAAGGTCTCACACCTTTAGGAGCCTGTATTGGGGGCAGTAACTTTCAAGGACACTCAAACACATAAATGCCTACATGTAGAACCATAAAGTTAAAGTTTCACAGTGTTTCAGGAGGGCACAGATGCAGCAGTAATGCCTCAACATGTTTTAGGCAAAGTTGATACTGATTTGTAGTTACCAGAAATACGTCGGTCTAACCTGAATAAAATGTCAAATTCAATACTTCATGTTGTTCTGCGTGTTCTAAATGTCCTTTGTGTGGTTTTGGCATCTCAGAGGTGACTTTCTCTGCACGTTCTGCCGGAGTCTAACCAACCCCGAAATAGAGTATTGTGACGACAGCAGGAAAATCAAAGAAGAGCAGGCCCTGAATCCTGAGGACCAAAGGGTCAGTACAGCCACCACATCCTTGGAGAAGCTCTCCATCATTAGTACAAGACACTTAACTCTCCCTCTCTGTCTCTGTCTCTCTTCCTCCTTCTGCAGATATGTGAACGCCTCCTGCTGTACATCTTCTGTCATGAGCTCAGCGTGGGTTTTAGGGAACCGGTTCCTAGCTCTGTAAGTAGCTCTGATAGACACACAGTTCATTCATGTCCGCTGACACAGTCGCCTCATTGCTCATACCACGAGGATTTCCCTTTCTTCTGTTTCTCATGTGGTGGCAACATTTAATTATTCCTCTTTTTCTTTATTAGTCCACTCATTTCTGTTGTTTATGCACAACATCACAGTTTGAAGTTAAGCTCACAAAGCAACACTAGATGTCTGGTTACCCCACTGTGCAACAACTCCAAGATACATTCACCCTTTTTGCAAACTGGAGCGAACTGGAAATGCACCGAAAAACCTGGCAGCACATAATTTGTTATATTTTTTTCCTGTTTTATTCTATCGCACACTGCATTGGCTTAGTTCTTTCAATTTCTTTTACAAATGAATATCCTTTTCTAGATACATAAATGGTAAATGGTCTGCACTT